CCTCACCCTGCCTCCAATGTTAAAATATAAAATGTTATCAGATGCAGTCTGTAGTGCTGTCAAAGCTGCATCTGCTGTCTCTTCCTAGCTAACATAGAAAGATACGCCTTAGTGATCTTATGTAGGTGTAATATAGACCTGTTGAAACATTGCCATTGTGATGACCCAACAGAATTGTAGCCTGTCAGAAATAAACTCTGAAATGTGTCAATAGGACTTTACAATAAATCTAATAGCACAAATATATTTATGAGCAAAGCAGTTGGGCGTGAGCAAAATATACTGACCTTTATCTTTCCAGAAAGGGTAATCAATATGTTTAATTATATTATTGAAAAATGTTTTAATACATACATAGGCCTACATATAATATTTTAAAAGTATAGGTAAGGGTTCACAATTTGAAATTCCAAGCAGGCGGATTGTCTCCACGCGGCTCACAACATTGTGGCGCTCACATGTTTGAGCTGGCGGCTAACAATGCTAACAGAGCTAACAGTCTTTACTTGGGGGGGAAACTGGCAGGTGGAAGTTACGCTGCAGAGTGGCAGCCATTAGCTAGCCAAACATGCACTAACATGCACATGTGGCCGACTCTGCTAGCTAAACAAAGCTCAAAGAAGCTTGGACAGCAATAGTGGGAGAGGAACCTACTTTCCTGGAGATCAATACTCCACAATATATTTATATAAAGTCAAAATCGAGAACCTTTAAGCCGATTATGTGAGCTATTTGCTGCCAGCTAAGCTATACTGACTGGATTAAAGCTGCCTTGAGCCAATAGAGCAAGAAGAAATACATTTGCTTTTGATATACCTCCAGCAGTATTTGTGCTTGAGATGCACCCTTAGTAAAAGTGTCCTTATCTTGCTCCTGCAATGAGCTACGCGTTTCCAAACTCCTATCCAATCATTGTTGTGTAAAGATGTGACCCGTGATCTTCAAAAAATAAACAGTTTTCACCAACCACATTTAACAAGAAACGTTAAGAAGAAGTCCTGGCAATGACCGAAAGCTTAAGTGAAGAACTTCTCGGAACCCCTTTTATTTGTACAGGAGATTCCTTTGTAATATCAAGTTCTATTCTTAACGCTGACTCCCTCTGCTACATTGGTTTGTGGTAGGAGCGGGAATGGGGATAGTCCGAAACATGTTCTGTGACACATAGAGGAAAAGTTAATGAACCACACATTGTTCTTCTTTTGTAAATACTTGCACAGTCATGATTTTTTCCGAAAAACTAGACTGTTTCTGTCATGTCTAAAGCTTTGGGTTTTGTACTGGTTTTATACTAACAGTATTATGGGTGCCAAGATTGCCTAAACAGTGGGACACGGTGCACCAGGTGCATCACCTGCTCCATGTTAAATGTCAACGCAGATTCCCAGCGTGTCAACACAATGTCATACCTCAGCCACAAACCGTTACAAATTAGAATCAAACCTTTTGCATTCATGATCAACCTTGCCCAATGGCTACAAGTAGAGATAGTCTCCTTTGCAAGGTAATTTCCAAATGTAAAAACACCCTGTTTGCCAGCCCTTCCTAATCAAATACACCAATACAGGCACAGACGCACTGTGTCCAGATTCCCATTAGGCAAGGCAAGGCAAGTTTATTTATATAGCACCTTTCAGCACGCGACAATTCAAAGTGCTTTACAAAATAAATTAAAATACATTTTAAGAATAAATACAGTAAAAACACATTATATAATGGCATTTTACAACAGGCATTAAAAAGCAAAGATAATAAACACCACAGGTATACAATACATGTATAAAAGGCATACTGCAGTGCGAGTATGAACAGCTCAATTAAAAGCAGCGGCAAAAATATATGTTTTCAGTCTTGATTTGAAAATAGTAAGAGTTTCTGCAGACGTCAATTCAATTAAATTCAAAACCTTTATTTATCCAGGTGAAATCCCATTGAGATAATTGATCTCTTTTTCAAGGGAGACCTGCAGCAATAGATTCCACATGAAGACATAAAACATAAACAACAACAAAAATTACAGGGATTACAATTTACATATCTATCCACATGTACAGGCACCAACAGCATATGATTGTGTAGCATCCAACCGAGCTTTAAAAACATGTAGTGGTACCAGATTGGTAATAAGACGTGCACGATTCGGGCAGTTTGTTCCAGATTGTCGGGGCATAATAGCTAAACGCTGCTTTTCCATGTTTTGTTCTTACTCTCGGAACCGAGAGCAGACCCGCCCCAGAAGACCTGAGATACCTTGATGGTTCATAATTATGTAGGAGATCGTTAACATACTTTGGTCCTAAACCATTTAGTGATTTAAAAACTAGCGATACTACTTTAAAATCTATTATTTGGCCGACTGGAAGCCAGTGTAAAGATTTCAGAACCGGACTGATGTGATCCACTCTTTTAATGTTAGTGAGGACTCGGGCAGCAGCGTTCTGAATCAGCTGCAGCTTTCTGATGGATTTTCTTGTCAGCACTGTGAATACACTATTGCAGTAGTCGAGTCTACTGAAGATTAAAGTATGTACAAGCTTTTCTAAATCCTGTTTAGACCATTACCTTGAGGAAACAAATCCTCAATAAAACACCAGATCAGACCTGATCAGTTTAATACGAGCAGAAATGGAGAGAAAACCATGTGCAGAACATCAGCTGTCTGTGGGCCATAACCCACAGGTTGGGAGGAAATAAAAGCCAGCTGAAGTTGGGACTCGCCTGGTTGGTGAATCTGTTTTCTTAGCTCATGTGCAAAGTAGAAAGGAGACACACAGATGGACGCAGCTGAAGGGAGACCTCTGTTTATATCTCTAGCAGAGGAGTTGTTTGAAACTTAAAATAAAGTCCATTAGTCCAATGTGATTTGATTTCCTGTTTTGCCAGTCTTGCTCACAGTCAGAAGGCATACAGGAAAATAATGTTGACAAATGACCTCATTGGGAATAAAAACTTTAAGCTGCAATAAGCCAAACTGCTCTTCAAAAATACACTCTAAGTGGATTACAAAATGGAACTGCAAAGGGCAACAGTACGCCATGCCTTCTGAGATACTGCTGATTCACCCCTCAATTAAATGATCATGTTGGTTTTGCTTGCAGGCAGGACGTTTTGTGACGTAGTACGTCAGATTTGTTAAGTCTTTAGAGGGGCTTCCAGTGAAATCTTGATTTAACATAAGGCAATTATTATTATTTTTAAATTGTTTAAATTTGCTTTGCTTGGTTCAAACCGCTTGATTTATTGGGAATATAAAATAGGTGAAACCTCAGAACCACGATTTTGTAAACAAATACAAATCTTTTTTACAATGATATTTCCATTCATAAATGTTCAGGTTCTATCATGCCAGTTTAGGTCAAAATTCAACTCACACATGACAATGCAGTTTCTGAATTGAAGCTAAAATGTAAAAATCATCAAATTAGCTTTTCCGCATGACCGCACTGGCATCAAGCATCTTGGCACCATGGCACTGTGTCATCCATTCACACAGAAGAGTTGGCAGGGAATAGAAAAAAAGAACCATTGAGGGAAGTGTCTGTTGATGTAGCTTCGACCATGTGACTTGCTTGTTCCTCCCCAGGCTGTGTAGAGGAGGCCCGTCCGTGCATCATGGGACTCGCCTTACGACGCTCCCCCAGACACCAGGCCTGCTCCCTGGGCTCTGAAAGCAGACAGGGCTGACGTAAATGTGCTCCCTGCTGCGTTATCACTGCACTGCATCTCAGCACCCCAGAGGCTTACAGGCGCGATTCATGTCTTTTCAAATCTAGCTCCCACACAAATAATAACACGCTGAAAAACAGCCTGTCTTTCATAAGACACACTTCACGATTGATACATTTCAATTGCACCCTTTGCTTTTCCGATCATTCAAAGGTTCTATTGTGTACAACCGCAAACACACAGACATCTTATTCATATTGACATCTGTACGCCTTTCGAGTAAATGTCACTCCGAGCACATTTTTGCCAAAAGCTCTTAATGGTGGTGGTTGGCATCAAACGCTCACCACACCCATTAACAGACATTAACAATGTGTAGGAATAGAAACAGTGTGCCTATTGTGACTCAGAAGCCTTTGCTATGCATCTGGGTATCTTAACGCTGCCCTATTAGTTTTGTGCTGGCACAGTCTACGCATAAATACTTATATAATAACTCCAGTGAGCTTGTTAACGTGAATCCCTCTACTTCTTTCAAACCAAGGCCATATAGGTCCGTTTTGAAATCTCCAATTAATAGAAAGTTGTTTTCAGTAACTACTCTTGACATTGAACAGGAAGTACCTGTCCGTCAGAACTAATCAGGAAACAGTGCAGACGGTCTGCACTGGATTAGAAATTAGACGAGAGAAGGCAGCATGATCAAGTGGGGTCACAGCACTCTCCTGCATTAGCTGAGGCCTGAAGCTCCTGAAACCACAGGCGCAGCTCTGCAGCCTCTTAAGGAGCTCAGGCGGCCTAATCAAAATCAAATCATCTCCTCTATTTTTTCACTCTCTCCCTCTATCTTTTTCAGTCCTTAGAGAAACAATTACTTCTAGAGTGTGGAGAAAAACCTTGGGGTCCTGGGCTCCTTGAGCAGCAGCAGCAGCAGCAGCAGCAGCCCAGAGCTTTAAAGTAACTTTTATTGGATATCAGACCTGAAGGAGAGTCCAAAGAAAATAGGTCTTATTCGTTATTAGAGCCAGCTGTGGCTTTCCACACTGATGACTCATCCATTTTTCTTTCCCCCCTTATTCTTTGCTCTTTTTCTTGGTTCATGATGTGGTAAAAGGGGTGGCAGTTGGAAGGCGTGAGGGTTTCTCTGTTAGAGAGCTCAGCCAAGTTGACACCAAGCCCATATCGAATGGTGGTTGTTTGTTTGGATAATGGAGGGTAGCACGGCCCATGCTTACAGCTTTATTAAGCCTGACTCGTACACTCATTGCGCCACGTGGATGCCCTGCACACTTTTTTAATATCTCCACCTTTCTTTCTACTTTTTTCCCCCTCAGTGCCGATAATAAAGACAGAACCCAATGATGAATATGATTCTCTGGGGACTGCGAGACTGCCCATGCATTCAAAGCCCTTTTACAGCCGGCCCAGGCCCACTCCCATCATGACTCTTACCAATCCTGACGACTGCCTGGTTGGTGGCTACACCCCGTGCCCACCTCGCCATACCGCCATGCCATCGTCATCCCCCAGCTCCAGCCCCACCCTGCACGACCTGTCCCCGGTGGCGTACAGCAAGTGCTTTCCCAACAGCCCCGATCATGTGGCACCACCTGGCCCTGTTGTGACCCCAATTCAAGAGACCTCTGGCCGCCCCAACCTCGTCCACCCAGCATCGCCAGACCACAACTCGTCTCTCGGGATGCTTCATTCCCAGGGCAGCCCCAACCACCTCAACAGCCCAGGGCCCCATGGTTACCACACTATCTACGACAGCAGCAGTCCGTCATCATCCCCGGTATCCCAGCCTTCCACTCCTGGTGGGACAGAGGACAGCCCATTCGTTCAGGCCTACAGTCCCGGACCGGGTCAGACCCATACCGGAGAGAGCTCGCCCAGCCTTTTAACTGATGATGATGATGCCAGCCCCCCATCGATGGCCATCACCGTCAAACAGGAGCCCCAGGAATTGGACCAGATGTACCTAGATGATGGTAAGTTACAAAAAACAAGGTGTACATACGTTTTTCTGCAAGTTTCCATTAGATAAGCATTCAAATTAGCTTTCTCTTTATGAGCTCTCTGTCAATGCCAGAAATGGCTGTTTACGTAGCACATTACATTTATTTAACACCTCTTGCTTATCTGCAAGCCCCCACACATAGCCGCACCCTGCTGCACCCCTCAGTATTTCCTGGGCAGATTTACGTCACATTTGTTCAATTTTAGACTACGGCAGATTGATTTGCTTTGCTGAAACATGCGGTCCAGCTTATGTTGTCCAAGTGGCGGCTTTGCTTTACAACAGTAAATTGCCTTGATGGGATTTTGAAACAATCTGTCAAAACATCAGAGCAGTGAGGTCAGGCCGGGGTGCAGCAGAACAAAAACAGTGGCACACGCGTAGCCAACCAAACTGTTGACACAACGACTAATGAAGGAAGCAAAACAATGGCCAGGGGTTTCCTGAACCAAACCATTCCCCCCCACATCTTTCTGGGAGGGATGCCGAGAGGCGGAAGGTAGAGGCTTTGTTTTCCCGTGTTTTCCCCATGGAGTCGACACCATGCGGCTGTCGTCATCAGGGGAGGCTTTGGGGTCACTGATCTCCCTCTGGCAATGAAACCGGTTACACCCAAGGGACCATATGGTTGAGTTTATTGCCCACATTATGTCTCTTAGGTCGCCAAGCTGTTATCTTTGCTAGCAGAGGCTCCACTTGTTGTTATGATATGAATATATACAGTATGTTCATCGAGCACATTTATGGCATTGTGCCAGTTTAAAACTTTAAAATCGTAATGGAGGTGGGGGGAAGGCAACTCTGCACTATACTCAGGAACAGTGTGTGTGTGTGTGTGTGTGTGTGTGTGTGTGTGTGTGTGTGTGTGTGTGTGTGTGTGTGTGTGTGTGTGTGTGTGTGTGTGTGTAAGCAAACCTCAATCAACAGCTCTGGGAGTAGAGGGGTGATAGGTACGAGGGGATCAGGGGAGTTTTGCTGTGGAACTGTAATTGAGTTGAAATGCAGTTGTCAGCATATATGTCAGTCCGGATGAGTCCCATTAGCCCTCACCTCATAAACATACAATGCAGACACAGGGGGGGTGTCTGTCTGTTATCAGCTCTATAAACTGATTCCCAAAAACGTTTTCTTTCCTGTTTCTTTTCTCTTTCTTTTTGTTCTGAGTCCATAGAAATGTTCTGGAACTCTAAATTGAAACAACATTTGAAATTCTGTTTTCAATATTCATAGCAGGAGCTTTCCTTTCAGCATTAATTGAATGAAGTGAAACTGTAGCTTTATTTTGCATTTTCTAATAAGGTTGGCAAGGGTTCCTTTTACACCAACAGTATGAAGATATACCAAATGTACACAGCACTTGCTAAGGTGAAATCATGTAATCTTATTCTCTTCCCCACTACTCCATCCACTGTCACTTTAGCAGGCTCGATCTCTCCAACCCGGTGGCCAAATGTATTCAGCCAGTGATTACAGCTACATTAGTGACGCGCAGGAATGTGTATTGATTGACCAAGGACAGTAAGGCAGCCTCTTGAAAAACCTCAATATGCCGCCGTTTTGCATCACCTAACGTCTGTGCGAGAATCTGTGGTGAGCTCCTGGAGTCCCTGTAAGTGTGCGGTGGTAACAGCATACTCCAAAGGCATCTACTGTGCCCAGGCCCGGCCCTATCCCAAACCCCTCAAATGAGCCTTAAGCTAAAATAAATAAGATCGGAAGGCAGCTTGCAGGGCATCCCGCTCCCCGTCCGCACGCATTAGGACCGTACGTTAGCGAGCTGAGCGCTCCATTAGAGAGGGAAGACAAGCGGATGACCTCACCTCAGCGGCGGTGATTTAACGCCAGCCATGTAGAGTAGCGTTCCTCCCCAGCAATCCAGGGCCGGTGATTTGGAGTCTGCGGGAGCACACTTGATCTTCCCCAAGAGTGGAGCGCCTCCCACGCTCGAACGCTGAGGCCTCCGGCTCTCATCAGCTAGAAGAAATGTGTCTCTCTGGCCGGGCTCAGATTTTTTACACAGCCCCTGAGAAATCACTCAACTTATCAACGTTGAGCTACTGTACCACAAGGAGCTCGGTTAGTATGGAGGGATTCAGGGATGTAAACCCCCCTGACTGCCATACACAGTCTCCATTGTAATCTGCAAAACACCTCCTTATAGCTTATAGTGCAAGACATGAGGCAATGGTATTTGCAATGTGTTTATGGGAAGAATCCAGAAGGCAGTAAGATCTACAGGCAGCCATTTTCACACAGTGGCATGTAGGCCGTCCAACTTCTCATAGCTGGAATAATGCGATAGATCAGCATGGTTTAGATAAAAGTAGTAAGAAGAGGATAAAACACCCTTGTTGACTCACCATTGTAAACAAGCGCATATTGGGATATAAAACCGAAGTTTTAAGACATTTCGTACTTACTCACAGCCCGCTATGTGCACTTTACAAGGCACATGACTGTGAGCAAAACGCCACTCAAATGACATCAGTGTATATAACAATAGAATTCATTGGAAAAATGCGTTGGCTACGTCCAAGTTTGCCGTGTACGGCCTGCTAATTGGGCCAAATAAAGAAATGCCAAAATGACAGCATGCCTTGTCACACATCTGAAGGAACAATTGTGGTGACATCATACCCCCTCTTGTGTTAAACAACCACGGACACATACACACACATCACACATGTACTATTTTGAACTTAGACATGGCTTTTTCGGCTTTGGAAAATCCCCAACAACGCTTATTGCAAACTGTTTACTCTGTCATCTATTCCTGGTGTTTATAGGTATTATGCTGCAGATGTTTTTGTACACGTGTGTGCTTGGAGCAGAAGCAGTGTGCTGGTTGTGCTCAGTTTGGTTCTATTGGGCTGCTGCCGTGTGTCCGGTCTTATTAGCTGCTAGTGCGACGGGTGATATCATGAAGTGCAGCTGAATGCAGCACACGGCAAATGAAGTTGTGCTAATCAGAGGGCCAGATTTCTACCAGCTGCCTCTCCGGGAAACAGAGGGCCCTTATTCCCCAAAATAAGAAAAACACAGGGTGCAACGCAGCCTCTGCCGATTTCTGACATTTGACATATGTGCTCTGATTGCCTCGCGTTACAGGGTAGTTTCCCTTGTGATTGTTTCCTCCTCCAATTCAAGGTTGGTGCATTTGAAACTCTATGCAGCTTGTTTTCTCAAAATGAAAACAGGATTGTTGTCGGGCCCTCCTTTCCCTCCCTCCTGCATCAAAAAAAAAGAAGGTATTTTAACCTTCCCGAGGATCTCCGTCCACCACCAATGCTTCTGAAGGCAACTCGAGGCTTTCCTCATGGAAACTTTTACACATCCTGGCAAGTTGCCCGGACCCCAGGACTCCGCAAAACCTCTAATGATGATTGAGAGCGCGTCCGCACCGCGCTGAAAACATGCTGAGTCGCAAACATTGGAGTGTGCCGCAAGGCTGGCTCTGGGATTGGAGGGGGGGCAAAGAGAGAGAGGATTTAGACGGGAGGGTGGGGAGTGTTCATTAAGGTGGAGGTTGAAGTGTCTAATGGGACTCACTAAAGCAGAGCTGCTCCTGTATGTTGGGGCTGTATGTATTTGTGTGTCTCTTTTAGTTAGTGGAATCAGTGAGATGCGGAAGCTCCAGTGACAGCCCGTGCTTTCACAACCCGCCACCTCTGACCCTCCGGCGTATTGGGAGGCAGGTCAAGCTCAAGCTAATAGTGCACAGAAAGAAAGGCTGTCTTGTGGTTAAGTGCAATGCCAAGAACATAGTCTCCTTTTAGACATAGTGATATTGACGGGTGCAAGGCAAAGGGTGATGGCTTCTTTATTATTTATGACTACAAAGAGGATGGGGGTTGTCTTTACTCTTGTTGTCATTGCTTGCATTTTCATATTAGGGATCATGTTTTCCTGGCAGCTCTTGACACACTGAAGTATAAGTACAAGTTTTTGTGAAGTTGTATAGTCATAGGAAAAATTAATAGATGGCTGCTCTCTAGGATTGGCCTTCACGAGTCATTTAAATCCTAAACTGTAGATCAACAACTAGACTTTTGGGATCAGCAAAATATTTTATATTTATTTTCATTCTAAAAACTGCAAAGGATTTTTTCTTCTAAACTGTTTTAGAGGAGGTTGAGTATCATGTTACCTGATCAATTAGCTTAGGGCTGGGCGATAAACCGTCTCATAAATGTTCACAAAGAATACGTTGATATTAATGATACATGTATGAGTTGTGCATTTGATATCATTTATTTTTCATCAAATGCTGCTATGTTTATGCATGTACATCATTATGCAATATGATATTATTATTATTATGATATCAACACAAATGCCAAAGTGCCAAAATGCAAACATTTTAATTTACAAACTGAATTTGTAGTAATATCACATTGAAAAAGAGAAGCATAGCTAGAATTTAAAAATGAATAAGTAAATAAAAACGTAATACCTTACCTAATACCTAATAGAAGTAAATGGTCAGAAACTTGAAGTTACTCTTGTAAAGAAAATACCAGTCTGATTATTAGTTGGATCTATAAGGTGTGGAAGTAATGATAAATGGAACCCAGATAATTGAATTGCGCATTTGAAATAGAAGAGGAATACCTTCGCAGTTGAGTTAACATGCTCTGGTTTACGCAAGCACCCTTCTGTTTCTTCTTACATCTCTTTTTTCCCTGTCCCATTGGCTAAAGATAAGAGCCTCCATTTGATTTTTTTGTATGGTTTAAGCACTAACATAAAATCCACTCAATTATAGACTCTATTGTCTAAGATTGCTGGCAGTTTAGCAAATAGTTGTACCTAAGTGGTTACACATGACGGTGGCAATGGGGTAACAATATTAGCTTAGTTATTTTTGATAAGCGCAGCAAAATGAATCAGTACGAATTCAGTCCATTCATCAGTGCAGCGCGCTGGCTTCTTAAGCGTGCGTGTGCGAGCCAGAGGATCTGGTCTGGTTTC